GGGGGGGGGGGGGAAGGGGTCAGTAAGCGGCTGCATGGTGCTCAGTTGCCCTCTGGGCTCAAATTGCAACACTGCTATTGGTTTATAGTAGCTTCCTTTAATTTTGTGTTAATGGAGCTCAAAATCAGTCATTCCTTTGTTCTCCCCAGAATTAATATCAAACTCACTGCAGTAGGTTTGATACTAGTAAAAAGTATGAAAAGTACTCACCTATATTTAAGAGTATCATTGCACATTAGATATGTCCCAGTTCTCTGGGATTTTGTATCTGTTCCAAACTCTGAAAACCTGTATTAGTTCACCAGAGATCCCAGCCAGCTTCTTTTTTATACTTGGCTGGAAGTTATTCAAAACTGAAGATTTAACATGCCTAATTTTCATACATCCACCTCGTTTAATATTGAAGTATACTCACAACATCATCCATTGTATCATAGAAATATATATTGGATGTGGCTGCCTTTTCTGTTTTATTATTGATAATCTGAGCATTTCCACTTCATTATTTTAAATTAGAGTGAAAAGCAGATCATCATATCATCTAGTTCAGCCTTCTGAACATCACAAATATCATTCAAATTCCTTTAAAAGTGTGCAAATCCAAAACATAGCACTATTCTAGCTACTAAGAAGAAATAGTTAGCTCTATCCCAGCCAAAACCAACACAATAAGACAGGACAACTAATTTTTGGCAGTGTTATACAGTGAACTGGTGCTGATGCAGGCTTCCATGATAAGCCTTACATACTCCTCTCAGCCATTTCCCTGCATGAAACACCCCATCCTTATGGGAAGGAACAAGCCTTTTGCAGGCTTGGAGAAGGAAAGTGAATAAACCATTGTATTAAGGCATTTAAATCAAGTTTAAAGACCATCTAGTATAATGAAATACAAACTGAGAAAACGTAATTTGTTTGTGTCTACATGTTCTTATTGGAATAATTTTTCCCTATTGGAAACTTTTGTCTGTCAATCCCTAGCTATTTAAAACTGCAGCAACAATAACCAGTTGGTACTTTCTTGTGTCATCAGTCTTTATCCTAGCTTTTGTTAGAGACAATACAGTGGTATTCATGGGTAACAATAAGACTGTTATGTTTCATTGTTGGGTTTTTTTTTTCAAAGCTATACAATGTTCTAGCCATTACAGAAGGATTGCAGTTAGCTGAGTGATGTTTACATGCCATTTCCATACCCTATAAGAGGTATAAAAGTGTATTGTAGCCAGTGGAGGAGAGGTTCAGCTTGGAAGGTCGGGACTTCTGCCACATCTAGAAACCTAGTCGGGGAAGATAGCACTGTGCTGCCTAGCAAGCTTTTATTTTTGGTCTCTGTTTCAGTAACATGAGTGTCAGTAATAGTTACTGCATGCTTCTTATTCATGCTACTGCTGTGATCATTTGCTTTTAGGTAATATTAATTTTGTGGCTGTACTAAGTTAGGAAACCATTTACATGGACATCAGTGTCATGACTGTCTCACCCTGGCAGCAGGTTGTCTCATCCCTATGATGGGGCTGTTCTTGACAGTGCTTTTTGGCATTCCCATAAAAGCAAGAGATCAGCACTGTTTCTGGAAGCAGGGTCTTTCCAGCATTTTCTAGCATGATGCCTCACACAGTTACATGCTGGAGGTGACAGGCGTATCTGATACATTGCATGATCATTTGTGCATTTCACAGCACTGCTTCACACTGCTCGGCTCTTCTGCTCTTTGTAGTAGCAGCTAGTATCACAAGACTTGGCAAAGTTGTGTGGTTGCCCAAGGTCATCACAAAGGGGATGAAGATCCTGAGTTTGCAAATATGTGGGATGAGTCTGAGGGCATGTTTTTGGCACAGCTATCAGACAAAGCAGAGGTTCTAACATTCCTGCTTTTCAAACACAATGTCCCTGACTTTTGACACTTCAGCTTCTAACAACTGTAAGTGTGGTCTGGGTTTGTGGGAGGTTCAGAGAGAGTGTGAGATAGCAGGAATCCTAATAATTAAGACTTGCTCCTTGTGGCAAGAAGTGAAGTCCATGCCTTAGTTTGGATATGGTGTAGCAGGATTCCCCTTTCCATAGCCAGCTGGAGAAGCAACATTGTATCACTGCTCCTTCTGGTTTCTTTAAAGGTAACAAGGCAGGAAGAAGATCTGAGATGTGCCAACAGCTACTCCATTCCAGGAAATAAGACCCAAGTGCTAAATCATTCAGTTTATTTATTAGTCAAATGCTGTTTCATGGTCTTAAACGTTCTTCCTGATAAAATAAAAACTATTTTGACTGAACAATAAAGCTTGTGACCACGGGTACTGTTCTTAACTCTACAGGTGGTGTTTAGTGTTTCTTCCCGTGACTCCACTGTGACTGGTTATGTAATTTACCATGGCACTCTGTTAGTCATCAACAAACTGCATAGATTGCTGGTTGAGGATGTTGCCTCAGGCTGAGTGGTTAATCAAGTGGTATGGCA